ACTCCCGAGCCTCCTGCAATCTGTCAAAACAAAGGGAGCAGGAGATCTGTACCGCCGGACATCCCCAGTTCCCCTTCGGCAGTGGCGGCGGCAGCGAGCAGCTCCTGAGACCAGCCAGAGCCAACTGCGCTACCAGGCTGGCTCCAGGCTGCTGAGGCTGCCACTGCCACGTTTCCAGGGCACAGGTTTGCAAATCTGGGGACTGTCCCCAGGAACCGGGGATGTCTAGTAAGCCTAACCAAAGAGGATTCAGGAGAAGTAGAATTGGAGGAGCAGAAAGAAAGCATGGTCAGGCAGTCACAAGGAAGGTGGGGTAGAATCCATTGGTTTTGCCACAGCAGGTATAGAGGATCCCTAAAATTGCAGCACTTCTGTTGTGAGTGATCATCTGAGACCTTGATAGGGATCTTGGCCTAAAAGCAGTCCTTTGGCATGAAGGACCCTCAGCCTAAAGACTGTAAAGAGGATGGCACTGAAAAGCTCCCTTCTACTGCCCTAAGCTAGGTTTAGAACACTTTTCTGCAGTTCTGCCATGTCTGGATGAAGGGTTAACAACTTGTTGTTGTTGTTTAGTCGTTTAGTCGTGTCCGACTCTTCGTGACCCCATGGACCAGAGCACGCCAGGCACTCCTGTCTTCCACTGCCTCCCGCAGTTTGGTCAAACTCATGCTGGTAGCTTCGAGAACACTGTCCAACCATCTCGTCCTCTGTCGTCCCCTTCTCCTTGCGCCCTCCATCTTTCCCAACATCAGGGTCTTTTCCAGGGAGTCTTCTCTTCTCATGAGGTGGCCAAAGTATTGGAGCCTCAGCTTCAGGATCTGTCCTTCCAGTGAGCACTCAGGGCTGATTTCCTTCAGAATGGAGAGGTTTGATCTTCTTGCAGTCCATGGGACTCTCAAGAGTCTCCTCCAGCACCATAATTCAAAAGCATCAATTCTTCGGCGATCATCCTTTTTTATGGTCCAGCTCACACTTCCATACATCACTACTGGGAAAACCATAGCTTTAACTATACGGACCTTTGTTGGCAAGGTGATGTCTCCGCTTTTTTTAACAACTTACAATGATGTAACCCACACCTAACAAACTCTCTCTTTTAGAATCTAAGTACATGCATCTCTGACACCCATATTTTTATTTCCTCCACCTCCAGTGTGTCAACAATTTGAATCCCCACATTTTCTGTGCCTAAAAACAATCATATGCTATAAATGTATGTTGCAGTTCAGTGTCAATAATTTCTACTTAGGTTTTAGGGCTATGTGCAGTTTCTGCCTCCCTTTTCTCATATTTGTCCCCCCCCCCCCACAGAGCACTGATCAATAAGGCCTTGGGTTTTCATTGTTACAGCACTGACCTCATCTCCCTCACCTTATCCTTACATTGTATTACCCATGTCCTTTTTATTCAGGCTACTATGTGTTAACAGGAACATTTTGCTCAAAGCAATAGTGCCATGGAGGTCATTTCAATGCACTTCATTCTCCAGGAGCAACAGTGGTTTTAATTTAAGGCTATATGTCCTCCCCTCCCCCCACTTGCCTGGGGAAAATGTCTGCTAATAAATAAAAATAAACAGGGCTTATTTCTGAGTAGATATGCATAGGATCATCATTACTATTTATCTGTGCGCCGTTTCCCCCCACAAAGTTGTGCCTGAAGTGTCTCACAGCATAGCAAGTGAACAAAAAGAATTCAAAAATATATTAGAAACCATCAGAAATAACCACAATGGCATGGATTCAGCTAAACCAGTGTGCTAGCAGAAGGCAGTTGCAAGGGCTCCCATTGTTATGAATGCTGACAGGAAAGTGCCTTGACCACTGCAGGTCAGGAAAAGGCCAGAGGTTTGAAATGCAATTGACTTTTACTCACAGAAAGTAACACAGTGAGTCCCTGGCTCGACGCCTTCGGCTTGAGACGTTTCTGGAAACTGAGCTCCAGCCCCGCCTTCCCCCTTGAGCCTCTCATTCTGGAGCCCTCTCCAACAGACAAAGACTGTAACATGGGGGGTGAGCTCCTCCTCTGGGCCTGTCTGGCCCATTGCTCGGCAACATGTAGGATTCTCCTAGAGCAGGGTGTGAGAGGAGGAGAGCCAGCAGCACTGAGCTGTCCTGCTGTGGGATGACAAGTGTACCCTCTGATTCCCCCTGTCTATGTCTGTGCTCACACTGAGGTGCTCAGCCTCCAGCTCTGTCCTGGAAGCCTTCTTCTGACCCATCTCTCCAGCTTACTGCTTCCAGCACCTCCCATCTCATTCCTTCCCCAGCCTCCTCCCCATTGTCACACCACCAGGACCCGGGGTCCACGTCTTTGTCTTTCCTGTCCTCCTTGGGGGTTCCTCATTCACCCAGTTCTCCTCCCCTCCTTCCCCTTCCCCCATACGCCCCCCAAATCCACTCTTGTGGGGAGGTCAGATCAAGCACATTGGGAAATGATAAGGGATTGTTCCATCTAGCAGACATTCAGCTTCACTGATTGTCCACAAGTTCTCCTAGTAAAAGAGAGGGAGAAAAACATTTCTCTGTCCCCCCTCTCCATACCATTCATAATATTATAAACGTCTACCATGTCACCTCATACTTGACTTTTCCTTAAAAAGAAAGTTTGAAATGCTGCAATCTTTCCTCATCTGGGAGTCGCTGGATAAACCTTGAAGTCTCTTCCAACTCTGTGATTCTCCATTTGTCATCCTGCAACCATCCCTACACATTCAGAGGAGGAATTCCTCCTAGCTATCTAATACACAATCAAAATATAAAACCAAAAGCTCCAAAGCATATCGACATACAGAACAATGCAGATGGGCAGGGAGGGGGGGAGAGTGGCTTTTTGACTTCCTGCCATATTCTCTTTATGTCCCATAGTAGGAAAATTTGATTACCCATATTTTAGCATGCATAACCAGTTTGTTATGCTCTTATGAGTCCACATAAGCACCAATAATAATAACAGTGACGATGCTAACTGTGAATTATGGCTTATGCATATTTTATGGCGCCCTTTAGTTTAACATCCTATAACCTTACACTGAATGTGTGAGTTGTAACAAACTTGCTTTAAAACCAAATTAGCCAAATGTTTATCTGGATTCAACTCTGACCCACAAATTGCCTTGCAGCAAATGCTGTTCTGATATCCTTGGGAGAATATGAAGTTCTTTTAACGGGACTACTTATTCCCTCCCTACAACACATACCTTGTTTATTCTCTGTATACCTGGGGTATGGAATCGCTTCAAACGTTGATCCCTTCCTTGAATCCCCAGTTTCCCTCTGGAGGCAAAATGCACACTGGGTTGTCCTGATATGCATGGGAGCAGGGCTTATTTCAGCCGCAACTCCATACCAGCACCTCTCAGGTGGGTGTCATTGCCATCATAAGAGAACAAGCAAGGCGTTCATGGTGAGTTGCTGCACCTCTTTTTTGTAGGAAAATGGGCCACCATTTCTGATTGACAAGTTAGAAAAGGTGGTAGGGAGGAGGGAAGACAAGGTCAACCAAACTATGGTGATGGAAAATGCCCCATTGCCTTCATTGGACCTTTCCACTGAAGGCTGAGGGACATTCAGGGACATTCTTGGAGGTGCAGTTCTTCAGGTTTTTGAGGAGGTGGTGAGGATAGTACAGTGGTACCTCGGGTTAAGTACTTAATTCGTTCCGGAGGTCCATTCTTAACCTGAAACTGTTCTTAACCTGAAGCACCACTTTAGCTAATGGAGCCTCCTGCTGCCACCACGCTGCTGGAGCACGATTTCTGTTCTTATCCTGAAGCAAAGTTCTTAACCTATTCTTAACACTATTTCTGGGTTAGGGGAGTCTGTAACCTGAAGCGTATGTAACCTGAAGCGTATGTAACCCGAGGTACCACTGTACAACTTGTGATCCAAGAGCAGCTTTCTTTTTCTCCTAACCTTTGAAAGCATAGCTATGGCTCAGCTGAGCACCCATTTGCAGTACAGCTCCACTGCACTTCGGAAATGGAGTTGCAAATGGCCCTAGGAAGATGTTCCATGATGCTTTTCTCATCCACATTCATGTCTCTTCTCAAAGCAATGATGAGTGCAGGCTCCATTATTCATAGCTCCATTATTTAGAGCATGTGCCCACAAATTCAGGGACCACAACATGCATCAGTGGAAGAAATGCTGGGTCACAGGTTGCTGTGCTATGGCTCGGCGCATAGACCTGCACCTGATAAATCATGGACTTCTGCAACTTGCTATATTCCAGGTATTTTTGTTGACCTCAGTGGCTTTGTGTCTTTCCAAGCTAATAAATTTGATTTGTTAATCTGTGATTCAAAGTGCAAACTCAGAACCAGGAGCAGCTTGAGTGAGCCGTCACTGTGTCATCTGAATTGAGCCAGAGGCTCGTATTTCAGAATTTTGCAATAAAGAGAGGTGCCTATAACAAAGAAAATTGTTATAAGTTATTAACTGCAGCAACAGCATATTACACCTTGGAAGTTAGATAAGATCTATAAAGCCAGCAATGTGTGAGGCTGGTGTTGTAATGACACCAAGGGAGACTTTTATCATATGTGGTGATATCTGTTATGGGCAGGAAATGATTGAAGAAACTATGAACTGGGACACCCTGAGATCATCAGGTTGACCTGGTATATGTGATCTTAATGAAGTAGATGCAAGTTAACAAGGTGAGAGAATGTTTAGTTATTAATTTTGTTAGCAGCCGCTAGACTGAATTTTCCAATGCAAAGGAAAATATCAGCGGTGCCTTTCAAACATGAATGGGTTGGGTAGGGAAACTTGGATATTTGTGAATTCCAATAGGAAATGAGCAGCTCTACCCTTCCCAGCTAAAGTATGGGGTGGAATACTGATATATAAACAGAGTAATAGATAAAATACATTTAAAACGCTTGTTTTCTAGAGAACTTGCTGCATTTCAAAATGTGTATTTAGTGGGGAAAAAATGTGTTCAGCAACACATATTAATAGTCAAAACAAAATAAAATAAATAAAATAATAAAAAAATTCCTTCCAGTAGCACCTTAGAGACCAATTAAGTTAGTTATAACTAACTTAGGTGGTCTCTAAGGTGCTACTGCAAGGAATTATTTTATTTTATTTTATTTTGTTTCGACTACGGCAGACCAACACAGCTACCTACTTGCAACCAGAACATATTTGATAGGGTTGTGCATGTTCCTCCCATCTGATTCAGGGCCTGAAGAGGGGCTTCAGTGTGGCCCCATTCTGATCCAGGATAATGCAGGACTCTCCCAATCCAGATCTGGGCCACGAACTGAATTTGGGGCCTTGCATAGTGTTCAATTACGGTCTTAAAACCCAATTAAGCATGCAGTCAGAAGGGAGAAAGGAAGGACCCACAAGCAGGCTGACTGCATCTCTCCCCCATCTCTCCTTTTGGCAGTCCTGAATGGCTCCAGGTGGGTCAGATATGACCTGGGCTAATCTAGGATTCCTTCAGCTCACTCATGCAAGCCCTGGATCAGTGCAAAATGAGCTAATTAGGTTCAGGATCTGGGATTCAGCTGGAATGGTTGCACAGCACTAATGTTTGGATACATATGTAAATTTGTTGTGCAGATTTTTAAAAAAATAATAGCAGCTAAATGCAAAATGGGACAGAACAGATTTGAATAGAGATGAAATTGATAATGGACTGGAATTAGATTGTTTTTTCCATTCTTAGAGTGCTGGTCCAGAAGCAATTCCTGAGAGAACAGGCTCTTGTTTCATTATTTACTGTTCGGAAAACTAGGCTAAGTTTTGTAACTTAAAGGGCAGCCTTGCGGATGGTGTTTCTTACTCTGATGAGAAACGCTGACAGAAGGGTGATTAACTTTTCCCCTTGTCCCATTTCCTTGATCTAAATTGTCCCCTCTTCAAAATAAAAATAAAGCTTTTAGACATGTAGTTCAAAAAGATGCCTAGTTCTCTGAACTTTCTTTTTTCAGACAGAAGTCTAATAATTTCAGGAGGATGATTGAGTAGGACAAACTCTTATAACCCTTCCTGCTCACCTCCCTAGTGCTACTGCACCCTTTCAAATTGCAATGGCTGCTTTTAAGTTTGAGGAACATGCTGGGCAATCTGAACTTCCATGTCTCATCTGTGTAGTAACCCCCCCCCCCAAAAGTCCCTGTTTCCTGTGCAATGAGTTGCAAAGAAGAAGATGCAATGGGGGGAAAAATAGCATTCAACTCAAAACCTTCTTCAACAAGCTTCTAAAAATAAAACCCGTCATCTAACTCAAGCACCATTTGGGTGTTTTTCCTCTTGGCTCTGCTGGTTGTAAGAGGAGGAGGAATAAATGGAATATGTCAGTCTCTGAATCTTGCCTATTAGTGTGTCACTTCTTACTTTGTGACACAACATGATGCTATGTATTATTTATAAAGAGGTGCAGGTTTGGCTTATCGTATGTTTACTTGTTACTTTATTGCAACAACTTCTACCACACTTGGTCTGTAAGCGATGTACAGTAAGGTTAAAAAGATGCAATAAATGTAAAACCAGTCAAGGCTAACCATGAAATCAGAAAACCTACTTAAAATGCCTAATGGAATAGAAAGGTTCTCACTAAGTGCTGGAAGTGCAACAGAAAAGGGAGCTTGTCTGATTCCATGTAATGGGTACAAACAATCATGATGAACACAAGGCTCCTGGTAGATACAAGCTGCGGTATGTACCCAAACCACAGGAGACCATGAACAGTGACTCAGCCGTGTTGGAATTGAGAAACGTAAATCATGATCAGGGGCGGAAAGAACAGAATTTGGCAGAACTAACTCTACTGTACATCTTTCATTGGCATCCATCTGCCTCAAGAGACAATGGAGTACCGCCAGGAGTGAAGTCAAACAGCCTTAGCAGCACGGAAGCAACCTCCCTGGGGCACAAGCCTGGGCAGTGTGTATGGAGGTCCTGGACTGCCCAGATGACAAGACCCACCATCTCAGCCTTGCTGATGTAGTCCAAAGGAAAGGAGAGCAATATGCTTGGAACCAGCTTGGCTGCAGGAGTTGCTAGATGGAGGCGTGCAAGGCACCATTCAACCACTCTAGATTTGTGTAGCCCTTTCTTCTCTTGAAGATATCCCACAAGGCAGCAAAGGGTTAGGACTAGAATTTTCCTGCTCCTGGATGGGCTACCTTCCCAGGTTGATGAGCTACCCTGCCCCTCACTTCCCTCTGTGGCACATGCAGAAATCGCCTTCTTGACTGTTGGGCCCACTATTGGTCTTGTCTGCTCACTCCACCGTAGAAGTCCCCAACTCATTGACTACACTCACCTAGTTAGTCCGCCAGTCAAGGCTGTTTCCCATGGTGTGGCCACTGTCAAATGATGGCAGCTTCTAAGAGCCACAAGTGAGAGCTCAGTGCAGGGACAAACTGCCACAGAAGGAGAGCAATGTGCCCTCACCAGAGGTACCAACCCTCTCCTAACACTCTCCTATACTTTAACACAATTGTCTGACATTCCCAATGCCCAATCCCTCTCCTTAGCTACTCCCCCACCAATGGAGCCATAAGCATGTATTTTAGAACATGTGCAACCACATCTGAGAGAGTAGGACTAGACTAGAAATAAGTGGCTTGTTTGAAGGCTACAATGTGGGTTTCAGCAGAATCACAGGGACATCATTACAGGGAAACTTCAGAGGGCTGGCAGGATAGAAAGACTAATTACACAATTTGCCCTAACACTCCAGGATCTTTTAAAATTTAATTTGTGCCTGGATTTGCAGTGCTAAAGTACTTGCACACAAGTAGCAGAAGTAATGTACTACTTAGTCCCCTCTTAGCCAGTTGTGGACAATTAAGTACAATGATTTAACACCCTTTAATATACAGAAGAATTTCTGGAGCTACAGATTACTGTGTTGCATTGTGTTGGGAAAAAATGTATTTAATTTGAACCCATTAATTACAGGGCCCACTGTGCAAGCTGTTCTGCAATTTAAGCCAGTTGCTCTTTGAATGAATATGGCTTCAATGACATTGATTCACACCTGTGTTATAATTTTGATCCAGTTGTGGGTCATCCTATGTATGCAGCACAGAACAGTGATTCAAATCTGCGATGCAAGGTGTTGTTTTTAGAAGTACTGTATTTTGAACTTTTGTATTTTGCTACATAGGTTGAATCTCGACCTCAAAAGCACAGAGCTTTGAAGGTTCGATATTTTTTTTAAGGAACTAGTTCGAATCTGACATGCCTCAAACAGAACTAACTGCAGTTCACAGTTGCCCCTTTACAAATTGAAGAAGTTCAGTTCATGTTCAATTCAGAGTTATAATTCAACTTCATCCAAATGACCTGTGGTAATCAATCAATCAATCAATCAATCGTCAGCATTTAGAATGTTAGATGCTTCCGTGCTGAAGTGTAAAATATATTTCAAAAGACTATGAAAACATCAAAGTACACACATAGTAGAATGTTAATTGTTTCATTTATGCTTCCCAACAATTATGACCTTTAGCTTAAAAGCCAAAAGAGTTTTTTTAAGAACACATGTAAGAAAATGAACTTGAAGATGAGCTTGAAATGGTTCAAAAACATATTAATTGATGTTCAGTTCACTCAGCAGTTATGGGAGCTACTTTCAGGTGTAGTTCAGAGATTTTTGAACTAATTCATTGAACTTCATTAAACTGAACTAGTTATTTCCAAGCACTGCAAGATAAACTAGGTTTGGAGAGAAGTGATGTTCACTCGATAAGTGAACATTATCGAGTAGATTAGACTCCTATAACTTCTAGGCTTCATCTCCCACGGAAAGATTTTTAAGTGGAACGGCAAGAGTTTTCTTCTGAAAGCTCATCTTATCTTTGAGATTAATATAGATGTATCTATCTGGCACAAACTCAGCAATTTTTATGTCCTCCTTACAGTGCTGCAGCACATTACGCAGTGATTAGAAGCTCTTGAGGGGGAGAAAATAACCACCCCTAAAAGTTGCTGTGTCAAGTTTTCACGAAACCTTAATAGGCGTTCTAATGTCAGATAACTGTGAAAAGTTCAGACCGCTTCAGTTTAATGCTACCTGCCTTAAACAATTATCCATCTGCCTCCTCTCCATTTAAATATTATAATTCCCCAAAGCATTTTGCACATAAAAAGCAGGTTGATGGGACTGTTTTTATATCTCCTTCCGTAAACTGCAGACTCAATGAAGACAGCACTGCATGACAGCCATAGCAGTCCTGTATTGCAATTGCACGATCGCATTCCCTTCTTCTGTAGCTTCCATCCCATGTCATTGCTGGGGGGCAGGATGCTGACCTAGAAAGCCACTGGGTGACCCAGAAGGCACACTTCATTGGACTGACACACTCAGAATGCTGCTGAGGCATCAGATGCCCAAGAGGCAACAGATTTAAGAATGTTATTATTGCATACCCCTCCCCCACCCACCTATGTAGGATGGATTGGATGCACAGATAGGCAGTTAAACCAATTGAGCATCTGAGCACAGTTATGATTCTGATTTTTATTGGACAACTTGGAGAGAGGTCTGTGCTAGGAAATGGAGAACAGGGTGTGCAGCTGAGGCCAATTGCAGATCATAATGTTCAGGTCCACAGCAATCATGACTAAGAACTGCATTGCAAAAACGCACACACACACTATTTTGGGGATAAATGCCCAAAATAAGTGATGCCAGTGTGTTGGAAGGCAGAAATACAAATGGAGACAATGAGCAGGCCTGGCACTGGCACTTGGCAAACTTCAATAGCTGCTAGGGCCCATTGGGAGATGCTGGGTACCTCTGCCCTGGCAGGGCATGTTGGGACTCACACCTTGCCTGGGTCCTGGCACTGCTATCATCCCTCCCTGCCTCTTGGACTCCTGGTGACGCTGGCCCTGAGAGTGCTGTAGCTTCCAGCAGCCTCCTGCCAGCTTACCCAGGAGACGCTCAACTCTCAGCCCATTCCTCTGCCACTGGGTAAGCCAGCCCACCTATGGCAGGGGAAACTGATATCTGTAGCAGCATGCCAGGGACTGGTATCAGGCACAGGCAGTAGTGCTGGGAGTAGTGGGGTTTGCCAGTGAGCATCAATGGGGCACATCAGTGTCAGAA